AAGTGTCAACGATGGTTCAGCAAATTTTGTTCAGGTGACTTTAGCCTTAAAAACTGTGATGGCAGGGGCTGACATGTTAGAATTGATATTGATGCTCTGAAGACGCTTGTTGAGTCTAACCCAGGGCAACACACTCGTGAAATGGCCCTGAAATTGCATGTCACTCATAAAACATCTAAGGAATATGAGAAAACTCCATAAAGAAGGTGTTTTGGTGCCTCACGAACTATCTGATAATCATTGTTTCCAACGTGTAAATGTTGCTTCATCTCTTCTGGCTCGTAATGCGCGTGAACCATTTTTGGACACCGGTGATGAAAAATGGATTCTCTATGCAAATATCAAATGCCAAAAACACTCCCAAACCCAAAACCTGGACTCCATCCCCAGAAAGTGATTTTGCATTTGGTGGGACATCAAAAGAGTAATTCATTTTGAACTCATCAATCCACAGCAAACCTGACAATGCAGAGATCTATAATCGGCAACTGGAACGTTTAACTCAAGCCCTTCATCAGAAACGCCCTTCACTCGTCAATCAGGTGTTCTTCTTCTCTACGACAATGCACATCCACATGTGGCACATTTGACACAACACATGATTATGGAGTTGGATTGGGAAGTTCTCCCCCACCCACCATATTCCCCAGATATGGCACAATCAGATTATCATCTTTTTCATTCACTGCAACACCATCTTAATGGGAAAATGTATGCAAATGTGGAAGGTGTTAAAGAGGACATCAACATGTTTTCTGCTTCAAAGCCAAGTGATTTCTTTAATCAGGGCATTAACAACCTGACAGTAAGATGAAAAAGTATCATCGATAAGAATGGAGACTATTTCATTTAATATATGTTTCATTTTGATATATACGTTGTTCAGGTTTTTTCAACTATAAAAAGCGACATTAATTTCTTGAAGACCTAATACATATGAATCAATCCGAATCAAGGACTGTGTTTCTATATCTGTATGTTTGTTGTGTTAATATTTACAATCTTGGAACAAACACTAGTTAACTAGATATGAATCACAATCTGAATCAAGGACTGTGTTTCTAACACAACAAACATACAGATACAATATTTACAATCTTGGACAAACACTAGTTAACTAGATATGAATCATAATCTGAATCAAGGACTGTGTTTCTAACACAACAAACATACAGATACATTATTTACAATCTTGAACAAACACTAGTTAACTAGATATGAATCACAATCTGAATCAAGGACTGTGTTTCAAACACAACAAACATACAGATAAAATACCATTAAGAGAGTAATTAAACTAGTATACACAATCCACATTACAAGTGACATACTTTACCTTGTCCCTGTATGGAGTTATAACAAGTTCTTTGTTATAATTATGATGCGAAGCATGCATGTATGTAGCATACAAATGAGAAGCTTCCTCATTGTGCAGATCGTTTATAGCTGCAAAATCTCCAGAAATGGTGCTAAGTTCTTCTATCTGGCTTAACTGACTTAGAGTCACAGTGTTTCCTGAATGAGGCACATCAACTGTTTGGGATCGATGCCAATTCTGAAAGTAAAATAATGTCATTGAGAATCACACACATTATTATTTAACCTCATCTCACAGTCAAATACACATCTTCTGTGAACTAGAATATTTCCTGATTTTGTATTTCATACTGTAACGTTGAAAATGGAAATTTGTTTCATTTTCTGTAATGTAAAAAATACAAATAGGAATCAGTTATTCAACCTCTTGAAATTTTAAAACCCCACTTAATCTTCTACAGCTTTATACTTCTTCACTTAATTTCAATATAGATTGGATTAATATGTATAAAGTTGCAGTTTTAAAAACAATTTCATTATGCTTGATTAATATAAAATATAATGCAGTATATTAAAAAACAGTTTCCTGATCTTAAATTAATTTAAATAATGTTGCAGAATTTCAAAAACATTTTCATGAACTTAGGTGAATTTAAATTATAATACAAGATTTTTTAAAGCAGTTTTATGAGCTCTGATGAACATAAATATCAAATATAAGTGCATGCAAACCCCACATTTTACAGGTATCCAGTAACCAAATATAAGTACATCCAACCCACATTTTACACATATCCAGTAACCAAATATAAGTACATCCAACCCACATTTTACACATATCCAGTAACCAAATACAGGTACATCCAACCCACATTTTACAGGCATCCAGTATCCAAATACAAGTACATCCAACCCACATTTTACAGGTATCCAGTAACCAAATATAAGTACATCCAACCCACATTTTACACATATCCAGTAACCAAATATAAGTACATCCAACCCACATTTTACAGGTATCCAGTAACCAAATATAAGTACATCCAACCCACATTTTACACATATCCAGTAACCAAATACAGGTACATCCAACCCACATTTTACAGGCATCCAGTATCCAAATACAAGTACATACAACCCACATTTTACAGGTATCCAGTAACCAAATATAAGTACATGCAACCCTCACGCAACCCAGTAACCATATAAGTGGTTTTCATGTTAAAATTAAAAATACTTTTCTTCATCTGAAAATTGTCAAATTTCATTTGTGTAATAGCTGAAACTTTCTAAATAAATAACCTTTTTTTATTCAGTAAAACTTTGTATTTTATCTACCTTAACTCCGTACACAGTTGATCGATTTCACCAAACTCATAATCACCATAAAAGAAATTCAAAATAAATCTAAGTGCCTGGTTTTTCTTTCCAGAAGGACTGCATATTGTAAATGGATACTACAATTGTTTATCCTAAATAGTTTAAGGTTCTTAACAGTATACATCTGTTTAGACATAAATTTATTGTTTTATTTCCATTTGAGTCTTGTCTAATAATCCTGCAATACAATTTGTAAATCACTCAGATAACAAATAGCTCACAATGCCATATTGAATTACATAATGCACGAGCTACTCGTCAGCACACATTGTACAGAATTTTTATTAAATTTTATAATTATTTCACCTAACCTAATAAGTTTATAATTTTTACATTTTATAAAAATAAAGAGTATAAATGAAAAACAAGAATTATGTTACCTGTTTTTTTTCCTGTCACTTGCCAATGAGATTCAAGCCTACATTTCTGTCCGTTGGTTAATTTCCAGAATAAATTATTTCCGAGGAACTTCAGTGATACAAGTCCTTTCTTAAATAAAACTAGTTTATGCTTTCTCGACATAACTTTGTAATACACATAATTTCTATAGTCACTTTAATTTAACTACTTTTATAAACACCGGCTATAATTCACAGAGATTCAAACACTTTACTTACGGTGCCTACTGTTTGCTTGACTCAATTAT